ATGAAGTCCCCAACCATCCTACCATTAGTATTTGCCGCTTTTATAAATAGACTGCCAACGTGAAATAAAATAATTCAGATAGAGCCTGTTTAACACAGTTGTGTATATCGTTAGCAAACGGCGATCAAGCCATATCAAACGCGGTCCTTTTTTTTCTTTATAAATAGATAGAGTACTCAACTCCTCTTGAATATGTCCATACTCCGTCTTCCCGATAGAGAGCTTTACATTTCAGTTTTATAAAAGAGCAGGAAATAAATCCCTATGGAATAAAAGTTTACGATTAATATCTAAAAAAAATTCCTCCCACTAAAAATTGTGGACTATTCAAATGTCAGAAGAATTGCATCGAATTAAAATGTAGGCCTACGTCTCAAAAGGAGACCAAAAAACCCTCTGTAATGTGTGTGGTTGCAATACTTCTTAATCACATCTTCATACAACTGTAATGCTTCAAGTATGGAAACCGGTTTTTAATTCAGTTAAATGTAATGCATTTTTAGCATGTACAGGTGAACAATTCAACGATTTGATAGGATGAACTTGAACTTAACATTTTTTAGCTGTATAAACACCCTGCTTTAAACACTTTCATGCCGTGTATAATTTTATATTTTAGTCTGGTTTGTATTTATATAAACTTGACTGAAAACTGATTTATTTTCTGAGAACTGATTTATTTTCTGAAAACTGATTTATTTTCTGAAAACTGATTTATTTTCTGAAAACTGATTTATTTTCTGAAAACTGATTTATTTTCTGAAAACTGATTTATTTTCTGAAAACTGATTTATTTTCTGAAAACTGATTGTCAGGAAAGACGGACTGCAGTTGGGTACCTTTCTACATTATGAAGAAAGCGCCGTGTTTTTTTTTTTAATAGTCTATACAAGTTAAAATAAAACTGTTTTTTATCACTTCATACGCCGAGATAACAGAAACATGGATCGCCGGATTGGAAGGAGTAGCTTTACTACATTACTAGATGTAATTCTAAACCAGGGTGCTTAAAATATCATGTTGTTGAAAACTAAAACTTTGGGAATACATTAATCAAAGCGGTTGTCATTTGTGGAAAAATAATACCTGTTTCATTTCGTACATCGAAGATCCAAATTAGTAATTTATTCATGCTTTTTTAACACCTGCTATGTGAGCTTTAAAAACCTGTTAGCAAGGATAAATATTTTAATAAAAAGAAACAATAGATTTTATGATTAGATTTATCTAGAATAGTTAAGTTCTTTTTTCCCCAATTAAAACAAGCAAAATTAACAGAGTATATATTGGAGAGCCCAGAGCGACTAACCCTGATATTAAAGAAAAAAACACTCGACACATTGCATTTAAATGTCACAAAAGATGCTTAAAGTTAGCCCTACATTAACAACCACCTTGAGATTTCCTAAAGTTCACCAGCACCCAGCAAATAGCTTCCTGACAGCATAATAGCATACGCATTAGGCAGCTGCCGATGGCGTCAACGCATGCGAAAGCTGTGGAGCATGTCATTTAATGCGTTAACCCTTTCAGGATCATGAGGAGTGAATTTCTTTCATTTTATTCCATCCTCTTCAATGAGAGGCAATCCGCCTTCATAATCACTAGTACCTGCAAACATTATTTACTCAATATTTCCTTCACGGAATAGACCCCAAATTCTTCTTCCATAAAACTTTGTAAGCACATACAATAAAGACATATACGTCCCTAAGTGATAACATAATGAACTTTTTTTTGGAACCTGTAACCGCCACTAACGTGTCTTTACATCGCTTGTTTTGTTTACAAATTCAACTAACAATTTTGTCAGTGGTTTTCAAACTGAAAGCTGCTATCCATCTGACATTGAAATTAATACATATATTCTGAATCCTGACGTTTTCCTAGATAATCTAAGAAGGGACGACGTGGTCGAATTGTAGAGCGTTTGGCTACTGGCCCGAATGTCTCGAGTACCTGTGGCAGAAGGACGTCCTTGATTCAACCGATCTCTGATAAGTACCTGACTTAGTTGGGGAAAGTAAAGGTGGCTAGGCATAGTGCTGACCACACCATCCCTTAAAATACAGAGGTCTAGAAACATATAAACCATTCTTCTGCCCAATAGAAGGCTATGTTTAAAAAGGAAATTTACTTTTGCATAGAGTATCTAAAATGTAATTGCCCAACATTGTGTTACTTTCATTTCTGGTGTTAATTTGAAAATCTGGACCAGAGGCGTAGCAGGGGGGGGGCAGGGGGGGGGGGGTACATATGTCCCCGGGCGCCGACCTTAGGGGGCGCCAAAATGGGTTGTAAAAACAAATTAAAATATCATTTAAGCTGCATTTTTGCAGTTTGAGGGGGGGGGAGTGCAAATCGAAAGTTTGAGGGGGGGGGTGCAAATTGAACATTTTCTCCCGAGGGGGCGCCAAATTGAAAATTGAAAGTTTGTCCCCGGGCGCCGGGAAGGGTCGCTACGCCTCTGATCTGGACAAATACATCCTACGGACGTTAAAGGGTTGAACGTTGCAGCACAGCATCTAGAGTGGTAGTGTGTCTCTCAATTTCTTTATTAGAAGCAGTCGTATAAGCTTTGTAACGTCCTTGGAGCTAGAACTGGATTTGTCAAAGTTGAATAAAACTCAAAAGTGGCATGAAGCGGTGAATGCTTTAAACAGGTTGTTACTGCAGTGGCAAGCAATAATGTATTTTTCCTTTTAGAATCATTCATATGTAAGTATTTAAACGGTGGGGTGCATTTTAGATTTACTCCTCTGTGTCTTGAAGATATCCGTCATCAATCTAGTGCAGTTTGATTTCTAAGAGGACACCGTTGATGGTAAAAAGTCTTTTTTTAATACTAAACAAGTTAATTAAAAAGTCTAGTGACATTTATGCGCAATTTCCTTATGTTATCTAAAAATAGCTCTGACGTATAATGCTGGGGTGCGTTCAAGCTAGGAGAACGATCGGTTTGTAGGTGTTTATGTAATTTTAAAATTTGTGACCGAACGAAAAGATATCTTTGAAAACTTTCTTCGGCAATATTGTTCTAAATTATGACAGGAATCGATTGGTACATGTTTCAAGTCGCTAAGTGGTCTGGTTGCCGAGATATGGGCCAAAAACTGCATTTTTTTCGAGGTTTTTTGGCTTTTCCGTGAAATCCAGGAAGGAATTCCGGAATTTTTTTGGCCCACTATCATCCTCGTAACTTGCTTAACAAATTTGCTTTGGAACTAGTCCTCGATATTGCTTCGTTGAGGAGGAGATACGACTTAAAGCTGCGAACACACATCCATCCATACATTCATACATCCAGAAATGACGGGTTAATAAACGCAATTCTCCAGAATGGAAATTGCGCTAAAAACATATGTTTATGGATTACTACATTTAATAAAAACATTATACTGATATGACAACGTTTCGGGGATTTATTTCAAGAAAATATTATTTTAAAAATGTTACGATATCGCAAAATTAAAATTTACTCTCCTAATGTTTCATTGCTGATGTTGAAGTAATGTACGGCTAATTTAAACAAATTACGATACATAAATATAATTCACTTGTTTTAATGCATCAAGGATTTCACCAGCTTCTTGCAATAGTCTTATCAGTTTTAAAAATCGTATAGATAGCCCAAGCATAGCCTTATTTACTGCATCTATCTATCTATATATATATAATTCTCTTCTGGGAGCCGTTAGAAAACAAGCTGCAAGCGCCTCCTTGAAGTCCCCTCTCTTTCTCTCTATCACTATCACTACCACCCCCACCCCACCCCCACATTGTCTGGTGAGCTGTGGTCACGCTGTTTACATTTTACAATCATAGAGACGGGTTTGGTGACGGCTATTAGGGGCAGATAATTTAGTTTGAAACGATTTTAAACTTAGAGGAGGTAACTAAGAGGAGGCTGCTTTCACGGGGAGGGGGAGGGGGGGGGAAGGGGGGTTTAGTGTTTTTAAGCAAATATTTTCAGTGGCAGCATTGGTACTGTCGAATTCACAAATTATAAATTACTGAAAAGTAGAAAAAAAAACAACTAAATAGCGGCGTATGATACGCAGCGGGTCGGCTCGTATATATATAATTCTCTTCTGGGAGCCGTTAGAAAACAAGCTGCAAGCGTCTCCTTTCAGTCCCCTCTCTTTCTCTCTATCACTATCACTACCACCCCCACCCAACCCCCACATTGTCTGGTGAGTCGTGGTCACGCTAAATGTTTACAAAGCTACATGTTTACAAATCGTAGAGTCGGGTTTCTATTAGGGGCAGATAATTTAGTTCGATTTTAAACTTACATGAGGTAACTAAGAGGAGGCTGCTTTCACGGGGGGGGGGGGGGGTGTAGGGTCGGGGTTAGTGGAAAAGGGGGGGGGGTTAGTGTTTTAAAGCAAATATTTTCAGTGGCAGCATTGGTACTGTCGAATTCACAAATTATGAATTACTGAAAAGTAGAAAATAAAACAACTAAATAGCGGCGTATGATACGCTGCGGGTCGGCTCGTTTATTTTAATAGAGGAGCTAATAGCCCCAATGTATATTTAACAGATTTATACAGTAAAATTTATTTTTGGTTCAGTTTATTTGTGCAGTAACTTCGAAAACTAATTCGCTATTGACAAAGTAGCAATTTATTTTTGTTGTAGTTGTTTCTCAAATCTGGCAACTTAATGCCGTATTTTTTTTCTTCTGAGGTGACTGAACAATGGCTGAATATCAGTTAACATACGTAGTAACAACTTGGATAATTTTAGCAGCTCTTCTTATCTCGACCGTATTCTGGTGGAGCAGAAGACCAAAGAATCTACCGCCTTCTCCTGGTATTAGTTTGCCTATTATAGGTCACTTGTACTTGTTAGATGCCAAAAACTCGAGAAAACAATTTAAAGAATGGGGTGAAACAATTGGCCGGATATTCAGTCTTCAAATGGGCGCATCGACGTACGTCATTTTAAATGATTTCCAACTAATTAAAAACTTAACGATTAAACACGCAGACACAATGACTGGAAGATCAACCGTTAATTTGTTATCTCAGCACGTACCTTCAAGGTTTAGAGGTCTCATTGTGTCGTCAGGTCCGCTGTGGAGAGAGCAGAGGGCAACTGCGATGACCATCCTCAGAAATCTCGGCATGGGGAAGAGCGTCCTGGCGGAGAAAATATCTCAGGAGGTGTTCGTGTATGTTCGTGAGTTGTCGCTCTTGAGAGGCCAGCCTTCTAACATTAAAACTTTAACAAACATGAGCGTGTCAAATGTTATTTGCTCGGTGATTTTCGGTCGCAGATTTGAGTTTGATGATCTGTTTTTTCTCAAGACTGTTAGTCAATTTAATGTGTTAGTTGAACTTGCAGCGACAGGCTCCCTTGCTAATTTTCTTCCTTTATTAGTATATCTTCCTTTTGATATTTTTGGGGGTAGGAGATTAATCAAAACTTATAGAGAAGTGCAAAAATGCAACGAGTACATGGTTGAAAAAGTTAGAACTGAGTTTGATCCTGAATCAGGGGATAATTTTATCTTTTCTTATATTCGAGAAATGGAGAAGAAAGAAAAATCTGGACAACCCACTTATTTAAGTCTGGACAATTTGGCTCGTTGTATCGATGATCTGTTTGTAGCTGGGACTGAAACTACCAGCTCTACAATCTTGTGGTGTCTTCTGTATTCCATTCACCATCCGGATAAACAAGAGAAAGTGTACCAGGAAATTATGGTACATGTCGGGACAGAACGCGTGCCGAACTTGATGGATAAACAAAACTTGAAATACTTTAACGCTTTTATCATGGAGACTCAAAGAAAAGCCAGCATCGCGCCAATCATTACGTACGAATGCATGGCGGATACAACTTTTGAAACATACACTATACCAAAAGGGACGCAAATCGCGTCAAACCTCGACTCGGTCTTAAGAGACCAAAAAGTTTGGGGAGATCCGGAAAACTTCCGACCGGAAAGATTTATTGATGGGGAAGGGAACTTACAAATCCCAGAAGAGTTCATCCCATTTTCTATTGGCCGTAGAGCTTGTCTGGGCGAGTCTCTGGCCAAGATGGAACTGTTCCTGTACATGTCCTCTTTGTTCCAGAAGTTTAAGTTCATTCCTGAAGATGAGAGTAACTTACCTTCTCTTGAAGATACAAGGGGCATAACCACCCCGCCGCTCCCATATACTATCAGAGCCATACAAAGAATGCATTAATTTTTTTTTATTCTTATGTTAAAGCAAAATAACGTCACTCACGTTTTCTTTACTTTTCCTATTATTTTTTACTATAAAGTAGCCTATACACAGCTAGTATAATAATATGTCTTTTACTAATTGTATAATTTTAGTATTGTTATCTATGTTCTTGTATTATTATTTTTCATTAAATAATGTTTACAATTATTATTATTATTATTATTATTATTATTATTATTATTATTAGGCCCCCTATTATTATTATTATTATTATTATTATTATTATTATTATTATTATTATTATTATTATTATTATTATTATTATTATTATTATTATTATTATTATTATTATTATTATTATCATTATCATTATTATTGTTATTATTAGTAGCAGCAGTAGTAGCTGCAGTAGTAATTGTAGACTTTTAGTAATATTAGAAATTATATTTGTATTATTGTTCTTATGCTCAACCTCGTTTTCGTTCTCATCATCGACATCGTTATAATAACTTTTGTTTTAATTTTTTCTGTTAGTTTATTATTATGTAACATAAATGTGCTTTTGATATCAATATAACAAAACAAGCTGTAACACTGCACTCATTAAACAGAAGTATAATATAATTCTAGAGTGGAGAACTATCCTCATTAACTAATTAGCCAAGAAGGTGACTAATAGAAAGACGCACATTTTCCAGGAAATTCTATTTGTAAAATAGAGTGGGTGTCTATCTTTCGTACGGGGCCAGAGCTAGTTCTTCTATTGACACGCCTCGGTGGTAGCGAATGAGTTTTCTGACATGGAAAAACGGAGGGGGGGGGGGGTCAGAATAATATGATGTGTGGCGATCGGTAAGGGAGGGAATTCAGAAAATGTTACAACACTCTTTTGCGATAAAAAAAATATAGTTAAGAATTGACCTTGGCCTAAATTCGTTTTTTAAAGGCTGTTTTTTTGTGAAATTGTAATAGAAAGTGATTAATATAGGGCTTTACTCAATGTTGACAAAGATAAAAAAATATTTTAGAAAAAAATCAATGTTTTAAAATACAGAAACGGCAATTTGTAAAACGATGTATGACAATGTTTTATCGGCCAACATCATTTATGGATGACCGCCCCCTCCCCGAAAGATTAAGCCCACAACTCCTCCCACAAGTTTCAAGTGCAACCCCACCCCCCCCCCCCCCCACCCCACCCCCACCCCCCATCCGCCCCCGGAGAAAAAGTCTTGTAGAAAACTATTTGTAGTTTAGTAGCCATGTAGGCCTATTGCTAAGACTTACATTTTTTTTTATTTCATAACGTTGTTTTACACATCAATTTATATTGATAATTTTGTTTTTTTGCATGTTCTGTCGGTCTTTCAGTCTTCAAGTGTTCAATTTAGAAGAGGAAGTGGAGTTCATTTGTTTCTGTGACTTGGGTAAACATGGGTAGTCAATCCATTGAAGTTGCGTCGACCCTAATTTGGGGTCTGAACTCGAGACTTTCGGGTAAGCAGTCATGTTTTCTACCGTCCGGTTTAAATTATGTCGTATATTGCCGATCAGAGGTCCATCATAGCTACGTACTGTTTATGTGGGACGGTATTTCTTACTGGTAGAGTGCTGGACTGCTAACCCGCAAGTCTTGAGTTTAAATCCGGGTTCAAATCAGTTGATTCCACTTAGCCTTGGGGTGTACCTAGCTCACCTTAGGAAAATTAAGGCGACTGTTCCTATTGATAACCCTTCATATGCCGAAGTCACAAAAACAGGTGAACTCTACTTCACTTGCCCCAAAGAAACTTCTACTTGCTTACTTGTTATACCCTTTATTTCCAGCAATAGCAGAATTTAAATACATTTTTTTTTGTTATTGAGATATTAAAGTGTTAAAAATGTTATTGTTTTACAACTTCTAAAATGTATTTACTGTGTTGGTACAGTGTAATGTGTGCATTGAGATGTAACAAAGCTGTATGTATCTATATATATAATTCTCTTCTGGGATCAGTTAGAAAACAAGCTGCAAGCGCGCCTTTGCAGTCCCCTCTCTTCCTCTCTATCACTATCACTACCACCCCCACCCCACCCCCACATGATCTGGTGAGCGGTGTTCACTCTGTTTACATTTTACAATCACAGAGACGGGTTTGGTGACGGCTATTAGGGGCAGATAATTTAGTTTGAAACGATTTTAAACTTAGAGGAGGTAACTAAGAGGAGGCTGCTTTCACGTGGGGGGGGGGGTAGTGTTTTTAAGCAAATATTTTCAATGGCAGCATTGGTACTGTCGAATTCACAAATTATAAATTACTGAAAAGTAGAAAAAAAAAAAACTAAATAGTGGCGTATGCTACGCAGCGGGTCGGCTCGTATATCATATTTTACAAATAAAAATAAGTAGTTTTGTATAACATGTGAACAATGTATATAAAAATATATTTCCCAAGCGGGGAATCGAACCCCGGCCGCCGCGGTGAGAGCGCGGAATCCTAACCACTAGACCACTTGGGATTACATGCTATGACGTAAGAATAAACAAAAAGAACAATAGTTGTGACCTTGTTTCTAAACACTCACTGCTTGTGTTCACTCTCCGGGTTAAAAAACCACCACATACCTGTAACCTAACAATCATCGACACCAACATTTTTGTTGCATGGTTATAGTTTACAACATAGGTTATCACACACTATTTGACCTCCCCCGTTAGCTCTTTATATCGCTATGTCAGCATGTATTGTAACATTTTCATTGACCGCAGCTCGTAATATCTTTTTAATGATAAAATATGTCACGGTTAATGTAAAAATTGTGAAATAAACGGTAAAACAGCAAGAATTTATTATAATTAAAAAAACGTATGTGACACATAAAACAAACAAAAAGCCCCACATTGCAGAATTGCAATCAGCCATCTTTTCGGAACTACATCCTCCCCCCCCCCCCCCCCCCCACCCCGGACTAAACAACAAAATAATTTACCTATATAAAAATCCAAACCGATTCCCACAGAAATTATAAGACCCATCCTAAGAAGGTCTTACGAGTCTTGATTGGCAGTAGTTGTGCGGTTGGGAAACAATAAATACTTCAAATATCGTAATATAGGCCGATCTCTGATCAATAGAAAAAGCACTTGACTATCCATTAAACATTGTATTAAAAAATGTTACATAAAACATAAGCCAAATATTTTTTAGGTTATATTGACAATCCTAAATATAACATAATGTTTTTAATACATAGTTTTGAAAATGGGTAGAGTTTAAAAGCTTTTTTTTAAAAAAAAAACAAGGTTCTAGCGAGGCTCGAACTCGCGACCTTCTGCGTGTAAAGCAGACGTGATAACCGCTACACCATAGAACCTGTATGTGTTGGGTACAAAAACAGGTGAAATTTCTTATTCCAAATAAAACTTTTCAAAGAAATAAAATGACTAGGCTACAGGATTCAGTGAAATGAAAAGCAGAGGCGTAGCGAGGGGTAGGGGGGGGGGGGGGGTGCGGACCACACCGGGTGACACCATTTAGGGGGGGGGGGACACCAAGGCAAAAAATAGCAAAATATATAGAGAAAAACTTGAGGGGGGTGCAAATCGAAAGTTTGAGGGGGGGGGGGGTTCAAATCGAAAATTTGTCCCCGGGAAGGGTCGCTACGCCTTTGGGGGGGGGGGGGGTGACACCATTAAATGCTGCACCGGGTGACACCCGACCTCGCTACGCCACTGATGAAAAGTATTGTGGTACGTTAGAGGGAGTGCTGGAGTGTGTGGCCAGGGATGAACGGGCTGTATCCAAAAGGCCCGGGAATTTCCGAAGGGTCCCGCAACTCTGGAATGAATTTTTTTTTTATAAATGGAAGTTGTAACATGGAATAATACCAACATGTTTTTTTTTATTAAAAACTGGGGGCCAGTGTTTCTTCCAGACTATTTTCTCCGGGGATGCACTTGATATTTTCGGGGGGAGGGCTCAACGTTTTCCGGGGGGGGGGGGGGCATACACTAGTAAAAGTATATGTTTTCTATATAAATTCCATTTCGTTCGGATGGGGGGGGGTGCGAAGAGATGCCTGGAAGAAACAACTGCTGGGGGCCCACCGAGATTTTTCCCTGGGGGCCCATTGAGATTTTTTTTTCTCCCAAAGACCCACAGGGATTTTTCCGACAGGCCAGTCAACCCCTGGGTGTGGGGTGGAGGGGCACCTGGGCCCTATATATTACAAACCACAAGATTACGTTTCCCAAATGATTTATTCATTTCGTGCATGTATATAAAGCAATGACTAATTATGCAAATCAGTTAGTCAATCTAGTCGGTATTGCGTGCATCTATAATTAACCTGTCCCCTTTCAAGTAGCTCTAGATACTACAACAAGCGCTGAAGGTACGGTGAGGTAATTTAACAAACGTGAAAATATGTCAAACGATGAGGTCATAGCGTAGGTAAAGATAGGTTGAATGCACCACTACACTACGCACACATTTCGCGATTGTACTCGTTTGGTTCGAAATACGTTACGGTAAAATTAAAATAAGGCAAAATATTAATTTGAAGTGCAAGAATAAATGTTAAAGTGATTTTTTTTCGTGTAGTGTTTTAAGAGTTAAATCCCTTTAACTCAGCTTGTGTAATTTCAGATAAGAATATATAGGTTAGGCCTACTACTAATAGGCATAACAATGTGAATATTAGTGACAGGAATATACACATGTCTTATATAACACACATAGCACTAGTTGGGTGAAACAGAAAATAATATTTATTTTTAAGTAATACTCAAAGAACCTTGTTTTTTAAAGGCTTCGATATTTTTTTTTAATTCGACGTTTTTTATAGCTCTTTTAGATCAGTCTCTTGGTTTCATTTCTAGATATCCGTGTTTGTCAATTGTCTTGAGTAATTAAAACGCCAGATGTTTTGAAATTATGTACATCACATCTTCTGTTGTTATGTGAAACTACAAACACATACGCAATATGTGTGCAATATGTGTGCTGGACTGTCAGTTTTATTGACTGACACAG